CCCTATCTATCTCTGACTGCACACATTACCTTCCCCGCTTTTATACCAGCGTAACCTATTTCTAGTAAGACCTTGAACATTCGACAAAGTACATGATAATTCTAGAAACGTTGCGTCACGTGGTCATGTGACTCGCTGACGCAACAATATGCATTTAATTATGAAACCTACAGAAACAAGTTCAATCTGTCTACAATAATATAGGAAATGCATTTCATTATAAACATTTGAAATGTATATGCATTTAAAAGATATATCAGAATATTCTTTAAAGTCATACACAATGTTTTTTTAAAGCCTTCGCCAATCCATAAATGTTTGTGTATTTTCTGTACATTTCCTTAACATGTGAAAGGTGACTGAGTACTTATTTGCAACTCTGATAATTTGTGGAAATTAATTAGATATGGAATAATAGCAAATGGAAAACAGTGTTCACTGAAAAAAAGAACAAGTTAATACCTTGAGGTTGCTACTCGAGTTTCTATGCTTATCTTCCCTATGGTTAATCGTTTAAATTTAGTTGTGCTAGCTGCAAATAATTGTACATGCCATTCATCTTTAGTATGGTGATTACAAAATACCTTTTACCTGTAGCTTTCACAGTTCAGGTAGTAGTTACACATAATGCAAGAACACTGTCCAGGAATGTCAGTTTTTATATCCAATCTTCACATGGTCTATTTAGTGCATTTCTTTGTACCATGCACTGCCAATGTCATTTGTTGTTCACCTTTATATATTGGGTATGTATCATATCTGTGATTGAGGAATAATGGTATAGCCATGTATCATTACTTCAGTAAAATTTTAAGCATAACTTGCATAGGCTAAGTAATTGTGTGGTATATAATAATACCATGCATATTCTAACTTTTTATATTAATATAGTATTAATATAAGTTTATCAGTGTTTCTCAATATGTGCACCTTTAACATAAAATGTGGCCAACAATGTCATTAAGTTGATGTGCATTCTAGCTGTCTTTATTTCTTGTCATTCTATTGAAGTCACACCTGTTTTGTGCATGGTTATAATGCTATATATTGTATAAGAATGTAGTGTCCTTCAACATTTGGTAAGTCAGGTGGTATCTCAAGGTTATGGTTTCCCCTATATTTGAATGAAAATGACCAGTTAGGAGAATATTAGTAGTTCTGGGTAAATCTATTGTTACATCTCTGTTCGTTAATTGATTTTCCGTAACTTCATTCCGACGAAACTTTAGCGACACAAGTCCTTACTTAATAAAACTGGTTTATTCTTTCTGAATATAACTTTACCGATACACCCATTCTCAACAATCGCGCTAAAACAAACGCTATAACAACGAACGTGCTCAACTTAAATAATACTCTCCGACTGCAAATCAACCAATCACTGTCTACACACACTACTCCGTCACGTTGTCACCCTCTTATATATATACCAGGCTACCCTATATCTAGTAATCTTCCGACTATTCCCGAAGGTTCGAAAGAAGTGGCGTGACAGTAGTCACGTGACCTCGCTGACGCAACAATATTAAAAGAAGTTATGAAATAAAATCTCTCTCTCTCTCTATATATATATAAACTGACTGTGTAAAAAACAAATTGGTATGTCTGCATTATATAGTTCTTCTAAGAGGTCAGATATCAGAATCTACTAAGGCTACTGCTGAAACAATCATTCAGCTCAAATCATCCCCAGTAGTTGGACAATGCCTACTTGAATCTCAAAATAAAGAACAAGTATGTTAAGAAATTTGCCCTGACCGGATTTCATATTGAACCCCTTGGTTCATATTAAGGTTCTAAGGTTAACACTCTATCACCTGAGCTACCAGACTAATGCTAGTTTAATATACAATGATATAAAATGTAATAGTTGATACCAAACAAGAAATTTCTATAGAGTATAATTTCTCTGAATAGTTATTAAACAACTTGATAATTAATAGGCATATAAAAATATTTCTTATATATATATGTATATGTAATAAATTCCCTCTTGTGGTGATCATAAATAGCGGGAATATTGGTTAACTTTAATCAAAAAGTAGGCTTAAAATCAACGTTTCGTGTATTACAAATTATTATGAAAAGGGTAGGTTCTTGTAAGTATGTTAAAAATTGGTGGACTGAAAAGAATGTTATAATAATCTTTCTGATACTAACTTAATTAATCTTAAATCATGTAATTTCTAAGTATTTCTGTTGTCAGTGTTGACCGTTAGTGTTATTAGTTACGTTTAATATCACGTTGTTAACTTAAATTTTTAAAGTTAATATTGGCGTTGTGACTACAACTATTATTATTAGTACTATATAATCACTAGTGTTAGTAATCGATCTGTTAGTGTTACTATTCCATGCTTAGTTCTTTAATGCATTAGGTACTTTTTATACAACGGATAGTGTCAAATTAAAAAGAACAACTGCCTAGTTCAATATTTTTAACTTTCCTCAAACTCTGATAAATACCAAGATGGTCTAATACTAGTAATGCATGTTAGCTACCTTAGAATGCTTAATTTAAACTATAGTTGTCATTTTGATGGAATCATCTCAACAGTGTTATGGAAGAAAGGGATCTTGGTCAATTGGTGTTTTGGTTGATCATTCTCTTGATTTAAAGCTAATAGGACAATTCTTGGAATGGAGAAGCTGTCATATGAGTGTAATTTAAGTTACTTAAAACTATTTTCTCTTCAGAAAGGATTAGGGGGAGATATGATTGAAGTGTTTGTTCAAAATAAGTTTCTGATTTTTACCTTTTAGTTACTTTTATAACAACAAATAAAAAATATAAATAAAACAAAAATTTTAGTACTTATGTCGGCAGTTTTAGGCCTTTTATTGTTGATGCACTGTAGGATCTGTTTTATTGTAATGATGTTGGTGGTCCAAGGTAATGTTCTTTAGAATATGTACATTTAAGCACAAAACATTATCACACCTAGAAATGAATGTCTTAAAATTACTGGATTCTTACATGAGATATAAATATGTTAAAAATAACTTGTTAGTTAGTTAAGCCAAACACCTTAAAGTCAAAAAGTGAAACTATGGCTAAATATTTTATAACAAGGCATCTAAACAAACTAGCCTCGTAATGAATCTTGAAAGCAGAATCTGATCTTTCTATTGGTTATGAATGATCCAACAGTAAATGTCGGAGAATTATTGAAATTTTTTGAAAGATACATTGAGAAGAGGGGTGGCATATGCATTTGACTTTAATATTTAAATCCCACTAAAGTATAAAGCTTAGAAGCTATAAGTTTACATTATAGCCAAGCAATATCTACAGAATAAATGTCTGATTTGCAGCAAACTTAGAAGATCCTCTAGGAGAAAAAAAATCTAAAATGGGCAATTCTCATATAAGAAGCATCACATGATATAGGAAAGTGAAGAATAACAAATTATTTAAATACTTCATTTTGACAATAAAGTTATATAATATTAAGATTTAAATAATAAACTACTTTTTGATGCCAAGTTTATTGACATACATTGATAATAAAGTTGTTTAAATTTCGAATGTAATTGAAAAGGGTTGTAAAAGTGCATTTTTATCCACTCAAATCCAAAGAGTTAAGAGTTAGCTAAGTTAACATGCAAAAGTACATGTAAACAGTCATGTGCAGGATCTACTATTTAATACCCATATGTAATGGTATATAGGATACTGTATATATCTAGAGCTATACATTGAGCTTTTGCATTGTTGAATGTTCAGAAACCATGAAACATTTATTTACTTGTCAGTCACCTGTTGCAACAAAAATGTCTATATTTTTCCAGACTTGTTATTCCAGAAAATTCACTACTGTTTTACATGTTTACGACAGTGATGGGACTTTGTTTTGTGTTTATAACTATGCTATTACTCATAGTTTTGTAACCATCCAAGAGAAATGAATAAACATATCACATTTTATTTACTAGGCTTGTGTTAAGCACACAGTGACAAATTATGTATGCTGTGCTCACTGTGAGTATTAAAACCAAACTCTTAGCATTATAAGCCCTCAGACTTACCATTGAAACACCTAATAAAAGCTGGTCTCAGTTCTCAAATAGAACCAAAATGGCATCAAAACATTTTGAAAATACAAATTTAATAAGTCCTTCTGGTTCCAATTACCAAGTGTTTATGTAATGCATTATCTTTTCACATTGCATTGTTCCAAACATCTTAAAGAAAAAAGAAAGGCCTGGGTGCTTATGTCCAAAAGCTATAGTAGTTGGTACAAGGAGTGAATTAGCCAATATAGATGTACTAAATGTGTGATGCACATCATGATAGCTGAAATACCTTGCACTTACTATAAAAAAGATCATTTACTAAACGTTTTTGCCATTTATCAATTGACTCAATACCTAATCATCATGAATACAGTTTGAAATACCAAGATTTAATTTTATCAGCAAACTTTAATAATTGACAAATTATGTCTCTATCAATATCATTAATATAGATAAGAAAAAAGCAAAGCCCAAGTACTGAGCCCTGAGGCATTCTAAAGGGTTTGAGTACCTTATATTAAAAGAATTTTGGAGCTTCACCTTATCGTTAAAGCCCAAGTCACTACATCTTTCCATGTTGTATCTGGTTGGTGTTCAGCACCTTAGCAGAGCTCTGCAGTGTAACTTACATTGCAAAAGGCTTCATGGTAAGGTTGTCATATCAAAAGCACATTTCTACTTCATGGTTGCCTTCTATAAGCCATGATGGTTTCCTAGAGCACATACATCAATAGGTGCTGCACTGGTGACTTGACTGATGTATTTTTTATATGGAGTAGCATGATTGCCCATTTCCTTCTCCATCTGTTTGAGGGGATGGTTGAATGGATATGTTGTGGAAGCAACTTGTGTACTCGTCTCATGTGTGGCTTTTCCAGCTGGATATTCTTCTTGATTATGTTACAAATTGTTGTCTGGGTCAAGTGGACAGCTTTTGCCACTGACATTTGCACTTTGCTTACCAGGTGTTGGATATGACTTGTAGGTCTCTTTCCAGGTGGTCACGGTGTTCTAAGTTTATCTACATTCCATCATTTACCAATGTCATTATGTACAAGGATATTCCCATCTTAGAAATTAGAAATTCCCTAATTGAACAAATTTATGATCTGAGTATATGATTTTTTTGGTTGTTGGATATAGCTGTTACATATCCTTCCCCAAATCAATCAATATCAAAGTGTTGTTGTGATACATTCTGTTCCACTGTGGCCTTATATCAGTAGCATTTGTCATGTGGCGGGTAGATTTGCATATTAAAAATTGGTTCAATATATATAGTATTCAAACAATTGAAGGAAACAAATTGGTTTAAAAATTTTGCATAGCAGTTGGAAAAAATTGGATAATAATCCACAGGCACATGGCTAAAATGACATTGTAGTATATGCAATCCAGAAAAAATACTACATTAAATTGCTTCAATCTTAAGAAAAATATCCAAAAATGACTTACACTTTAAAATGCTATTGTACAATGCTTTTCCTCACTAGGCCTATTCATGTAATTTATTTTTCTATCCAAAATATAACTATCCTTTAAAATAGAAATCAGATGCTATTCTAAAATCTTTTTAAAAAGGGCTTAATTTAGACCTAACTTCTTAAAAACATGTTCCATATGCATCATTATTATATACAAACTGAACATTACTTACCTTTATGAACTGTAACAAGTAGAATTGTACAATTTACAGTATTTCCAAAAATCTCTGATCAGAGTTTCACATTCTCCATAATAAAGTCGTGCTGCAGTATGTGCTATGCAAGGGTGAAATTGAGTTACAAGTAGGGTCAAATTGGGTTAAAAAGTGTGACGTGGTGCTAGACAAAATTACCTGTCCTATATCAGTAAGAAAGGTCCAGTTTAACTGGAGTAACATTAGTAATTTTCTATTCCTCAGAAACCTTCCCACTGACAGTATTGGCTTACAAAAAATGTAAGAATGGACCTCATATCCTACCCTTCAGAAAGCCTTGTGTGGTCCTGATGCTTTAATTATTTTTAATATCTTTCTGTCAACCATCAAGGGATTGATAACAATTTCCCAGACTTTGTCAATGTTGTGAGAGGATGTGCTGTACATTTCAATCATACAGTAGTTAATGAAATTTAACTGCCCTACCTCCAACCTGGCTAAGACCATATGGATTCTTGTCACAATTTTTAAATTTTAATAATGTTGTGTTGGTTATGAAGCTTATAAAATAACCTTATTTGTAGAAATCAGTAATTAAAACTTTTGATTATGATGTTTCAGATTTTTGGACACATTCTTGAAGAAGTAGATACATAGAAACACGACTCAATGGTACGTCTTTTTCTCAGTTTTTGTGCTAATAGTACATACGAATAGATAGGAGTAACTGTTCCCTTGTGAAAGAAAAGTGCAAAATGTATTATTACATGATATATCACATTTACACTTGCAAATCCACCTAATGTTTAATGAAATAAAAAAATATGTATTATAAGTAATATATGATTTAAACAAATGACCAGATGAGTGTTTGCAAAAAAGACATAATCAGATTTAAAATAATGCATTCCATGTTATGATTTGTAGTCCAACTGCCTTTCAGCTACCAGTTTCTGTAAGTTAAAGATTAAAAGTTTATAGATAGGTCATTTTTGGCCATATATTGAATATGGGTGTTAAATAAATGCAGTATTTAAATATTGTTTTTTATGTTTTGAAATATATTTAAATAAAAAATAATCTTGAGTGAGAGGATAAGAGATTGTTGTGATTCTAAACTTTGTTTTTTGTATAGGTCTGTTTGATAATTGTTGAATTCTTGTAGAAGTGTTGGCTTAAACAGAATTTTATTCCATCTCTTATTTGTTGCTAACTAAAGTAACTGTATGTGACAGGAGTCTGGCACAAATGTTAAAATTACATAACCTTTAAAACAACTAATAAATTCTGAAGATCTTAAAGCACTACAGCATTGACACCAATAAAAATAGCAATTGCACAATTTAACTAAAAATTAAGTGTGTTGTTGTTCAAATGATCAAAGTGAAGTATTTGTATTCATGTTAGCTATTGCATATATTTGGTTACTTGATTGATCAGCTATGAAATTGTCCAAATAAGTTTAATTATACTCAATAAAAACTCATTTGTACTAGACTGTGTATATATTTCTAGGTTTAAATTTCTAATGGCCAATGTCTCTTTAATTCATAATAAATAATCATTTTATGGAGTTATGATAATTTGCAACTGCTAAATAGTTACAGGATTGTCACTACAAACTAACAAATGTTTCAGAATGTTTGATATTTCTACATACCTCAGTAAACTGTAATCCTTTACTCTCTGTCAGTTTTCTTGTAGTAGATCTTTTATATACTGTAGAACACTTAGAGCATTTATACATGTAAATGACATTTGAGTGGCTTGGTTTATCAGTTCTGTCATTAAACACAAAATAGTTCCTTTAAACATGGTTAAAAGTATTACTTATGGATAAACATTGCATAGTAAAGTCTTAAGTTGTTTGTTTGTTTTTGAGGCCAGTTTACCTGTGAATTGTAATGCTACATAGACTTTTTTTGGTACATTATATACCTCTTTTGGGTGGAAGCTTTCTTTATGTATTCATTGATTATACTAGTTATTACTTTTGATGGAAAATAATTATTGCTTAAATAACATTAATTGTTATGTATATCTTTTTTAATTAGTTCTGTTTGCTGGTAAGTTTATGAACTGTATATAAAGAAT